CGTTTCCGCACCCTGGACTCTGTCATTGTTTACTGCAACAGACGAGAAGACACTGAGCGGGTCTCTGCTCTGCTCCGCACCAGCCTCCCCGAGGCCTGGGCCCCAGGGCTTGGAGGTGAGCCTGGGACAGGACTGTGCCCCACAGGCCTGCCCAAGCACACACTCCACCAACCGTTTGTGCCCCTGCAGGCCGAGCCTGGGAGGCCGTGGCTGAAGCCTATCATGCTGGCATGTGCAGCCGGGAGCGGCGGCGGGTGCAGCGGGCCTTCATGGAGGGCCGGCTGCGGGTGGTGGTGGCCACGGTGGCCTTCGGGATGGGACTGGACCGGCCAGATGTCCGGGCTGTGCTGCACCTGGGGCTGCCCCCAAGCTTCGAGAGCTACGTGCAGGCTGTAGGCCGGGCTGGGCGTGATGGGCAGCCTGCACAGTGCCACCTCTTCCTCCAGCCCCAGGTGGGTGCCTACCAGCTGCAACTCTCCTGCCTCGCTACCTCCCCCAGCCCAGTGCCACCGCCACACATTCACAGCCATCCTGCTGCAGGGCGAGGACCTTCGGGAGCTGCGCAGACACGTGCATGCCAACGCCACTGACTTCCTTGCTGTCAAGAAACTGGTTCAGCGTGTGTTCCCACCCTGCTCCTGCGTCCAGCGACTGCCGGAGCAGGAGGGAAGCATAAGGCAGGAGAGGCACTTGAGCGAGCAACCTGGCTGTGAGCGGACAGCGCGGTGCCCGGGCCACGTGCGGGCACTCCCCGTGCAGCCGACAGTGCAGGCTCTGGACATGCCTGAGGAGGGTGAGGGACTGGGGCAGGTGCTGTGGGGGGAGTCCCTGCACAGCCCCATGTAGCCTGAGCCCAGTTCTGTCCCCAGTCATTGAGACCCTGCTGTGCTACTTGGAGCTGCACCCACAGCACTGGCTGGAGCTGCTGACACCCACCTACACCTGCTGCCGCCTGCGATTCCCTGGGGGCCCCACCCAGCTGCAGGCCCTGGCCAGCAGGTGAGCACAGGTCCTACCCTAGAGTGGAGACAGGGACAGAGGACATGGGCTACCAATTACTCATCCCTTCTCCTGGCACAGGTGTCCCCCGCTAGCTGCATGCTTGGCTCAGCGGCCACCTGAGAACACAGATGGGGGAAGCAGCTCTGTGGAGTTGAACATGGTCGAGCTGGTAGACTCGATGGGCTGGGAGCTGGCCCTCGTGCGGAAGGCGCTCTGCCAATTGCAGTGGGACCCAGAGCCCGGGACAGGTGTGCCTCGCCCCATGCCCTGCATGCAACCTGCCTGCCAGTCTGCCCATCTGACATGCTCTCTGGCAGGTGTGCCTCGGGATACGGGAGTGCTGGTGGAGTTCAGCGAGCTGGCCTTCCACCTGCACAGCCCTGGGGACCTGACAGCTCAGGAGAAGGACCAGATCTGTGACTTCCTGTATGACCGAATCCGGGCCAGAGAGCAGGAGGCCCTGGCCTCCCTGCGCCTTGAGTTCCAGGCCTTTCACAGGTTTGGGGGAGGGTGGGCAGAATGTGGCCACCCCACTCCTGAGGGCAGCTCTGACGAGCTCATCTCACCCCAGTGTAGCCTTCCCCAGCTGCGGGCCGTGCCTGGATCAGCCAGATGAGGACCGAAGCGCCAGGCTCAAGGCCCTGCTCAGTCACTACTTTGAGGAAGAGAGTCCAGTGGTCGAGGGGGAAGCACAGGGCCCAGAGCCTGGGCAGGCCGAGGTAAGCGTTGGCCCTTCCTGGGCCTGGGGCAAAGTTAGGCAGCCTCACCCATATGCACACACCCACCTCCTGCTTTGTCCCGGGGGCCTGTGGAGCGACTGACCCTGGAAGCTCAAGGTGGCCTGATGTTCCCCCACCCGCAGCTCCAGGACTGGGAGGACCAGATCCGCAGGGAGGTCCGTCACTTCCTATCCTTGTGGCCTGAGCAGCAGTTCTCAGGCAGGGCTGTGGCCCGCATCTTCCATGGCATTGGTGAGGGCCCGGGAGGCTCAGCCCCAACACGGGCACGGGCTGGGGCTGGACCCAGGGCACAGCCTCAGGGCCATGTCTCCCCTTCTACCACAGGAAGCCCCTGCTTTCCAGCCCAGGTGTATGGGCAAGACCGGCGCTTTTGGAGGAAGTACCTGCACCTGAGCTTCCATGCCCTGATGCACCTGGCCACTGAGGAGCTCCTGCTGTGGGGCCGCTGACCACCCTGCGTCAGGCAGGCCCGTTCCCCACATCAAACGGGGGTGTGGACAGGGATGTCTCACAGCACAGAGTGGCAGGTGCAAGACAAAGTCAAGGGAACATCAGTGGCCAGGACAGTGAGCACCTTGGGCAAGGCATACTGCCAGGATTGTGGGGACAAGGATTCCCCCCCCCCAAAATAAAAGATACTGAAGTTTTCTTTAGAGGTCTTCCTTTTGGGTGGGGTGGTGCTACAGTCTCAGGACAGCCTTGGATACCACACACCCCAGAAAAACACAAACAGGCTACACTTAGACTTGGTTTTATTGACTAGTCCAGCAGCCCAGCTCAGGCCAGAATTTTGGGCGCCAGGCCCAGGCCCAGAATGGGCAGGACTGACAGGGCGAGGAAGAACGAGAAGCAGAGGTGTAGCCCCAGGCTGTCCGCCAGGGCTCCTGCCAGGGAGCCCAGCAGCAGCTTCCCCAGCAGCTCCAGTGTGGCCAGGAGGCTGTAATGTGTGGCCTGTGGGGGTTGCGGGGGTCAGATGAGGACTCGCTTGGACCCCAGCCCTGCATGCCCTCAGTGTCCCAGCCATGCCTCCTCACCTGCAGGGTACTCGGTGCCAGCTGGCTACAGCGCATCATCAAGGTGAAGGTGGCAGTTGTGACCAGGCCCCCCAGGAAGTGCTGCAGACACAGGCTCAGCAGAGCTGCCCCTGGGAGGGTGGAGGTCAGCAGGGCCCAGGCTGCACTGTGCTCCTCCCCCCACGGCCAGCCCCTCACCTCTCAGGACAGTGCTGGAGCTCAGCTTAGCCCCCAGAGTGTCCAAGTAGAAGAGCAGGGCGGTCTGGCAGGCCAGGCCCCCAAGGCGAAACTGAAGCACTGATCTCAGCAGGGGCAGCAGCTTCCTGTGGTGGTGAGATTGGGCAGGTCAGGGATGTGGGACAGATCAGAGGGTGAGTAGGGCGGACTAAAGAAGGCTCACCAGTGCTTGGCCAGCAGGGCCCCACCCAGGGACGATCCAGCAATGGAGCAGACCACAGCACCCACACCGTTCCACAGCCCCAGCTCTGGGGCAGTGAGGCCTTGGTCCAACAAAAGGAGTGGGAACAGGCTGCTAGCGCCCTGCTCACCTGTGGGGAGAATGTGAGCAGGTGTCACCTACCTCCCTGTCCACCTGTGGCCTTGACAGTGCTCCCCAGCCAGGCTGCTACCCTGCCTCTGGTGCCGAGAGACCGAGGAAACCGCATCAGCCAAGCTCAGGGTCAGCATGACCAAGGGATTGTGGCTGGAGCTCAGAGTGGCCGTGCAGCTAGAGCTGGAGGACAAGAGGCAAGCCGCAGAACTGGTCTGGGCTCCAACCCACAGGGCATACCCCAGAGAGGGCAGCCCCATGGGTGGGCTCCAGGATTCCTGGGGACCCACCTGGAGCTTTTCCCCCGGGGTGCCCCCCGCCCCCATCCCTGCTGTTGCCTGACTGAAGCCCTCACTCACCCAGCTTGTAAATGAGCACAAAGCCCGCAGTCCACAGGGTCCCAGATATAGCCAGCAAGTCCTGCAGACGCTGCAGGGTGTGGGTGGGGTGTCCCGAGGGCTTGGGAGGGGGCAGCTGTTGCAGAGCCGGTGCACTCCAAGCCAGGGCAGCAGCCAGCCAGTAGGTGGCAGCCAAGAGCAGAAACAGCCGGGGCCAGGAGAGGGTGGGCACAAGGACCAGCAGCCCACCACCGGCCAGCACCGACCCCAGCTTGTAAGCGACCACCTGCACGGTATTGCCAGGCCCCAGCTCCGCTGGCTCCAGGAGCTGCACAGCCAGTGTGTCCAGGGCCACATCCTGCACAGCTGCACTCAGGTTCAGCAGCAGAAGCAGCCCTGCCACCATGACGGGCAGCTCGGCCTGGCCATCTTTGGCGGGAGAAAAGGCTGCCAGCAGCCCACACACCAGACCCAGAGCCGTCGTGCTGAGCGTGAGCCAGGCCCTGGGGGAGCCCCGCGTGTCCACCAGTGGGGCCCACACCAGCTTGAACAGCCAGGGAGCATACAGCACTTTGGCCAGTCCCACGCGTGTCAGGGAGAGGCCACCTGCTCGCAGCAGCACGGGCAGCAGGCCAGACTGCAGCCCATAGGGCAGGCCCTGCACCAGATAGAGGCCGGCCAGGGGCAGCAGCTTCCCACGCATGGCTAGGAGAAAGGAAGGAGAGCTGGGGCCGAGTTCAGGGCCTGCCTGGGGTGGAACGGAGCGGTTCCGCTGGTGGTCTGGCCGGGTCAAGGGTCACACGGCGGCATGGCCTTTGAACTAAGTCAAAGGGGGTTAGGGTTGGACCAGCCGGCGTCCGTACCTCTCTAAAGCGCAAGCCGTCCCCTTTTCCGGGCCCCGCTCCGGCGGCGGGGCGGCCGGGAAACGCGGGCCATAGAGCGACGGAGCGGGCCAGAGCGCCGGCCGTATGCAGGCGCCTCCGGTGGCCAACCTGGGTACTGCGTGCGAGCCGCCGACGGGGGCTGGCCTCCGGGGTAGGGACTAGTAAAGCGACTCACTCTGCGTGTCACACACTCTCACCCCACTCTTCAATCAATACAGGCTGAGCGATACCCATTGGTCCTTGCGCTGCACAGCAGCCCCAGGTGGCAGTTAGGAGGGAAACCAAGGCTTCCTCTTTGAGGCCCCCGGGGGAGAATGAGCCCACCGGAGGCGCTGCGAAGGCTAGAAGGTCACCTCCTCTGGGAGGCCTCCTCGAGCACTCCTCCTGAAGTGAAATTAGGCCTGCGCAGAAGGGCAATCAGGAGACGGGGCGGGGGGGGGGGGGGAGGAGCGCACACAGGTGAGCACACCTCCTCCAAGCAGCCACACGCTCAGCTTTATTAGAGGCCTGCAGGGAGGCAGGGGCCCAGCCCCACGGGCAGCGAGACCCTCAGGCCCCAGGGCGCTGTCAGTCTAGGGCCGCCAGGCCTGGTCCCCAGCAGTACTCAGGAGTATTCACGGGTGAACTTGGAGTGGAACTGGCTCAGCTTTTCCAAAAGGGGACGCAGCTTCTCCATGGAGGGCAGGATGGTCATCCTAAAAGGGGAGCAAGATAAGCGACGAGCAAAGGGTGTGGGATCCCCGGGGAGGGGCTGCGTGGCAGGGCCTCACCGGAAGTGGTAGGTGCCTTCCCGCTGCCCAAAGCCGCTGCCCGGCACGACGCAAATGCCCGTCTCCTCCAGCAGGCTCATGCAGAAGAACATGTCGGGCGCCAGGCCCAGCTCCTGGAGTGTGGGGCGGGAGCGGTAAGGGCGGGGCGTCCCAGACCCGGCCCTCCCTGCTAACTTGCCCAGCCGGGCCCAACGGGCAAAGCACCTCGGCGCGCTGAACCGCGCGCGGAGGAAGCTGTATGCGCGGGAAGGAGTACATGGCGCCCTGCACCGGGTTGCAGCGGATGCCAGGAGCCTCGTTGAAGACCTGCTCGGTGAGCTTGGCCTTGGCAGCCAGCTCGGCCAGCACCGCCTGCCTCTCCTGCGGAGAGAGGGCCCATCAGGTGGGGGAACAGTGCCCCGCAGCCCAGCAGGCTCGCCGCCTCAACCTCCCCTCCACGACCCCCTCCTGCTCACCGCCTGGAACTGTCTGAAGGAGGGGTCCGAGGGTGCAGGCGGGCTGACCACCATGTCAAGCACGACCTGGCCGGGCAGGGGCGGGCACAGCCGCACGCTCATCAGCTTCTGCATCTGCTGCTGCACCGCCGCATCCATGTTCACCACCTCCACGTAGCCGCCGCGGAAACCGCACCTGGGGGCGAGGGCGGGCGTCCAGGCAGGGCCGACAGAGGCGGGCGGCCGGGGTCACAGAGCCCCCGCTCATCTGGCTCGCACGTACTCGCCCATGTAGCCCTTGGAGACTGAGTGGAAGGAAGCGAGTTCCTGCTGCGTCGCGTACGGAGGCCCCATCTCAATGAGCACCTTCTTAAACGAGTGGAACTGAGAGCCTTCGGCGTACACGTTGTCCTGGTACACCTGGACGAGTGACGGGTGTCACTGGGGGCGCCCATTCCTGCCCTTCCACCTGCTACCCCATGTGCCCCTGCCAGCACCTCATCAGCCATCAGGAAGAGCTGCTCCTCGAAGGCGAAGCGGATCACGGCCTCGATGCACTCGCGGGTCTGCACCTGCCCTGGGGCACGGGCAGGGGGTGGAGGGGAGACGCGGCAAGTCCGGGGTTAACCGAGAGCGCGCACTGCTCTCCACGGGTTGGTGGGGCGGGGAGGCGGGGCAGAGAGGGGCAGGGCCTGGGCGGAGTGAGGGACGCACCGGTGGGGTTGCCCGGGTTGATAATGCAGAGCGCGCGCGGGCGGCAGTGGTCGCACGCCTGGTGCAGCGCGCGCCGCAGTTCCGCCACGTCCAGCGCCCAGACGCGCTCCTCGTCCAGGTAGTAGTCCACCTGCACAGCGTCGAGCTCTGCCAACGCGGCCGAGTAGAGCGGGTACTGAGGGACGGGGATGAGCACGCCCGTGCGCGTGCGACCCTCGCCGGACACCAGCAACTTCAGCACTGTCTGCGAGCGGGATGGGGAGGCGGCATTGGCGGGGCCGGGGCCACACCCGTCTTCTCCACCCCAACCCCGCGCCGCCGTGCCAGGAGGAGCCTGGCCGGCAGGCTGCACACAAAGAGCCATGGCGTCCTCCTGCCCTGGCCCCTGCCTACCACGATGGCGTCACTGGCCCCCGTGGAGAGGAAGATGTTGTTGGGGTCCGCGGGTATGCCTCCATCACGCCGCTGGATGTACCGAGCCACATCCTCTCGGATCAGCTGGACTCCGGAGCTGGTGCTGTAGGCCCCTGGCCCAGGGAGTGGGGCAGGACCGGAGAGGACAGGTGAGGTCCCGAGAGGATCCTCCTCTTCCCGTGGGTGGACCCACCCCCTCCCCCACCCCTCCCCACCCCTCCCCCAGTTTCTGCTCCTCCCTGGGGCCTGGCCCTGGTGTTTACCTAGACTGTGGCCCCCACAAGCCTGCAAGATGCTCTTCGCCCTTCTCTTGGTATCTTCGGGGAAATCGGGGCTGTTCAGGAGGTCAGGGTGGATGCAGAGAGCCAGGACCTGAGAGACGCAAGTGCTGAGTCCAGGGCATATAGGCTGCAGGTGGGGGCGGGGGGGGGGGGTTGCCAGGGCAGTGTGAGCCTCACCTGGCGCAGGAAGGTGATAGGTTTCTGGCCCATGGCTTGTGCGTCTCCGATGTTGGCACGGATGACCTCAGTGAAGGGCTTCTTCACACCCTAGGAGGATGGAGGCAGGGACATTGAGAATGGGCCTTAGGGATCCCCCAAACCCTGGTCCTCTGTGCCCCTGGACTGCCCAGGCTGGGCCTGGAGGGCAGTGGTGGGGCCCAGGCCTATACCTGGCGCAGCTCCTGCTCCAGCTCCAGGGCACGCAGCACAATGGGGCCTCGAACAGCATACTCCACCCTCTTAACACGTGGGTTCATGGTGTCCAGCGTCAGCACCTTCTCCTTTGGCCGGTTCGTTGCAGCCTGGCTGTGCTCTCCTGCCCTCGAGGCCATGACCCTGCTCACACCAGGCAAGAAGGAGGCTCAGCAGGACCCAAAAGCTGGGTGAAAAATGGTCCACTCAGTAGGCCAGGGCTGCAAAGGGTGAGCCTGGGTAGGGGCTCAAGGTAAGAGGGCACCCTCTTCACGGCAGCCTCCTAGCCCCACTGAAAGGGAAGGGAAAGGCTAGAAGAGGAGCTGGGGCCTGGGGCCCCGCCCTACCCACTGGGCAGAGCTCTTCCCCAGGGAGCCTCAGGAGTGGGTGAGGAGGTGGGTGGGGCTTGGGGCTCTGCCCAGTGCCCTGTCCCAGTGACAGGGGAGCAGGAGACCCTTGTGGGGAGTAGGGACAGACGGTTCGGGAAGCTCTGAGGAACTGGGTCTGGAGAGGAGGTGGGTGGGAATGCCCCAAGGGGGTCGGCAGAGGTGGGAGAGGACAGGTTTACCCCAGCAGGCCTCGGAAGAGGCCTGGCCCTTTCAGGCCCCCCATCTTCTCTTGGTTCAGCAGGCCTGTCTCCCAGGTAACCGAGACAGGCCTCAGGAATCCAGGGGTGTCGGGGGATGGGGCTGAGGTGCGTGGACAAGGGTTCCATCTGGCCCCTCCTGGGCTGGTGGCCGTGACCAGGGGCAGCAAGGGCCCTGGGGTCAGACCCTGGTTGCCATCAGGACTTGGACGTCAGAGTCTCTGGGCTGGGGTGTTGGGGAGGAGCCCTTGGATACCTGCAACTCTTCGCCCTCTCACCAGGCCAGCCTGGGGCTGCCCTTGGACCACACCTCAGGCTAGGTGACCTCTGCTCTGCTTTCTAGTCGCTGCTGATTGGTGGAGAGTGGGGAGTGAGCAGTGATAGGCCCTCAGGGCCCCACCTCCACAGGCCCTGCCCAGGGATGGCTACCCCCTGCTATGGCATCTGAGGCTGAGGGTCAGGAAGCCTGCCCTCGGAGTTAAGCTCTGGGCTGCTGGCTGGGCCAGGGGGCAGCCTTAGCTCCTCTGCACTGGCTGGCTGGGGAGGACACACAGAAGCCCAGGCGCTCGCCTCTCTCACCTTGCACCTTTCTGCTCTGCTGTTACTTCAGCCTTCCAGCACACAGGCCTGTCCTTCTGGCCCTCGGGGCAGAGTACAGGCTAATATGGGCCCAGCCCCGCCCACCCCCTGGCAGCAGGGCTCAAGTGGCAGCCCCGGTGGCAGGTGGACCTTGGGCAGCGGCACAGGCCCCCACACTAAATTTAACCAGCAGCCTAGCCCTGGCCCTCTCCCAGTGGACGCCCCTCCCACCACCAATGCTCAGGACGGGCTGGCCCCTGTGACACAGGCCTGACCAAGTGGTTGTCCAGCGGGGAGGGAAGGTGACCTGACCCCATGCCACCCAGGGCTGGGGGCCGTGCAGCACTGCTCTCCAGGGGAACATGAGCAGGCAGTGCCCTCAGCCCTCCCACGCAAGGCCCCTAAGGGGCCCCTGTCACCCCAACCAACACACTGTGCCCAGCCAGCTCAGAGCCTGAGCGGCCAACTGCTGGCCCTCTCTGCCGGCCCAGGGAAAAGCTGGCAGCCAGGTTCCGAGATCAGGCCACAGGCCAGGAGTGGGAACCTGCCCCCCTCCCCACGTGTCTGATGCCAGCCGTACACAATACATCTGGCTCAGGCCCCTCCCTTCCCAAACCAGGATTGCTGCTCCGAGGCCATGCGTCATTGGTCCCCAGGGAGGGTCCTTCCCAAGCAGTTTCAGAGCAGCCTGAAGGACTCGGGGAAGGCAGGCCGCAGCAGGCCACAGGCCTCGCACCCACACAAGGGCTGGGCTGCCACCACCAGCCCTAGCAGAGAACAGGCCCAGACAGGTGCTCACAGGGACAGCGCGCCCAGGCCCAGGGACACGGGAGCTCCCGCCAAGGGGACGGTGGCCCAGCTGAGACACAACGAGGCAAGTGGCAGAAGGGCTTTTTATCAAGAGTGAAACAAGGTCTGTGGCGGCAGGTGCCTCCAGATGTTGCTTCTGCCACAGGACTGTTCCTGGGTGAGGAGGCAGAGTCCTGGGTGGGGGCCCGGGGAGGCCCAGCACTGGCTGCCCGTCCCCAAGGTGCAGGTCAGGGTTTGGGCACCTGCCCCTCACATGAGCAGGCAGCAGGGCTTCTTCTCCACGGGGGCCTCCTCTGAGGGGGCTGTGAGCCTGAGCAGGGGCGGGTCTCCCACAGCCCTGGAGCCACACTCGGGCAGGGGTGCCTCGGCCTCCGCAGGCAGTTGGGACCCAGGGGCCTCGGGCCCGTCAGGCACGGGGCGCTGCAGCTTAGCAGCCGCTCGCTGACGCTTGAGCTCCGCCAGGGTGTGGTGGGCCTTGGCCCGGCCCAGGGTGTCAGGGGCTGTGCTCTCCAGGGGGCTCAGCTGGTAGGAGACACTCCGGTCCAGCCGCTTGGAGTACAGGTGCCGTCCCGAGGGGCCACCCACGCGGCCGTTGTGTGGCCTGGACACCTCAGAGTTGTCCTCCTGTGAGGGGAACGTGGGCCCCAGAGGCCATTATGAAGGGTGCCGCCTGGCTGCCCCTGGCCGTGGGCCCCCCACTGTCCAGAGGCAGGCAGGAGGGCAGGGTGCCTGCCAGGAGTGTGGGGCAGGGTCATAGACCCCACTGGCTCCTGGGATGGAGGCCTGCCCCACAGGAGGGTGGGGAGGCGCTCACCTCGGGGGGTGGTGGCCTGAGTTCAGTGTCTGTCTGGCCATCCTCATCCTCCTCAGGAGGCTCTGGGCTGGTGGGAGGTGGCTGTTGCCACACGATGGCCTCCTGGGCGTGCTCCTTGCGGTACAGGCTGGTGCGCTGGGTCAGACTCACCCGCCTCACCACCTTCCTGGGGAGGGCAAGGCGAGAGTGGGGGAGGACACCGCCCGCCCTGTGGACTCTGCCTCCGGCTCCAGCTGGCACAAGGGCCGATGCCAGCAGGGGCACAGACCCGGGCACAGCCAGCAAGGTGTGGGCAGGTACAGGCTTGGGGAGGGCAGGCGCTCACCCCCGGCTGCCAGCGCTGGAGGCGCGGCGGCGCGGCAGCGAGCGCTGGCGACCTTGGGCGCGCAAGAGCGCCTCGTGCTTGTGCTTCAGCTCCAGCAGCTTGGCTCGCACCTCCTCATCACCGCACACGTCTGGGGGGGGAGTGCAGATGCTCAGGGGTGCCCTCCTGCCAGGCACCGGCCCCAGAAGGAGGAGGAGGAGGAGGAGGAGGCCCCGACTCACCAAGAGGCGTCTCCTCCATCAGGGACTTCCCGTTGAGGTCGGCACCATGTGCCACCAGCAGCTCCACCAGGTGCACCTATGGCCAGCGAGCCCAGGCTGCTGAATGCTCCAGCACCGCAGGCCCACCCCAGCCCTGCCACCCAGCCCCACGCCCACCTGGCCCCAGTAGGCCGCAGCGTGCAGCGGCTCCCAGCCGTCTCGGTCCTTGGTGCTCAGACTGGCCCCGTGTTCCAACAGCAGGGCAGCCGCCTCACTGAATCCATTGGCAGCAGCGACATGCAGCTGTAGGCAGATGTCGGGCTCTGAGTCCTGGCCCTCATCCCTCCAGTGGCAACCTCCTCCTCCTCCATCCCCTAGCCTCGTCCTCACCAGCGTGGCCCCATGGTCCCCAGGGGCATCCAGGTCCGCCCCTGTCTGCAGCAGGCTCCGGATGTCCTCCAGCAGGTGCAGCTCTGGCAAGGCCCGGGCTGCCTCAATGCTGTCCTGGGTGATGCCTGCAGGGCAGCAGGCTCAGAGCCAGCCTCCCCAACCCCCACGGGCCAGCCTGGCAACAGGTGGGGCCGCACACACCTCGGTCAGCCATGGCCGTCTCAAGACAGTCCAGCGTCTGCTCGTCCTCACACAGGTCATAGGGCATGTTCCCATCTGTGTTGACCGCCAAGAGGTCAGCACCCCTGAGGGAAAAGTGGGTGGAGTGTGGCCACAGGGCTCCTCTTACCTTCTCCCCCCCCCCCAGGGAGGCCTCCAGCCCCTACCAGCCCAGGGCCTCTCTCCAGGACACTGGGAGGCCGCCACAGAGGAGGCCCAGGCCCCAGACGCTGTTGGGAAAGGCTGCCCCTCAGCCTTGGGTCCCATCTCAAGCCAGGTGAGATGTCCCACAGTCTCTACCTGTGTCTCCAGGTTATTGGTACCCATCAGCCCCTGTGAACATGCACGGTGGGCCCACCTGCCAGGAGGGGGTGCCAGAACTCTGGAAGAGCCCAGGTGCCAAGACAGGCCCACAGAGCTTCACACCCGCACCGGCCCCACACACCACCCCACCAAAGCCTGGGCTGGTCCGCAGGCAGTCTGAGTGCCCTATTTACTGGAGGGTCAGAATCGGGGGCCATGGCAGGAAATTCCTAGATCCTGGTGAGGCCGACCACTGTCCAGCCCACCTCACTGTTAAAGGCCCACCTGAGTCCACGTACCCGCTCCCTCCTGGCCAATCCCACCCTCCTCACTGACCAGAATGGTATTTCTCTGTACAGACCCTGGAGAGGCTGGGAAGCCAAAGCTGGAGGTCAAGACCTACCGTCAAGGAACTCCCAGATTCCTAACAGCACCTGGCAGGACACAGCCAGTGGGGCAGACAACCGCACTCCCCTGAGTGCCCGTGGCCCCTGCCCAGGCCCAGCTCTCCCTGCCAGGATGCAGGCAGTGAGGAAAGGTGAGGGGGGACAGAAGAAGCAAGGGCACCTTTCCTGGGGGCCAGACACCGGGGCTACGTCTGTCTCAGCACGAACTGCCTGCCCTGCTCCATCTCCGACACAAAAGCCATTCTAGCCACACCTGCCCCTGGCAGGTCCTACCGGGCAATGAGCATCTCCACCAGGTGCAGGTGGCCACAGGTGGCTGCGGCGTGCAGGGGTGTCCAGCACTCACTGTCATGGGCGTTGACTGTGGCCCCGGCCTCTAGGAGCTGCTGTGCCATCTCCCGGAAGTCGTCAATGCAGCTCTGCAAACCATGCAGCCTGAGCCCCAGGCCAGCCCGCAGCTGCCCCCCTCCCTCCCCCACAGCACTGACCTGGTGCAGGGCTGTCAGACCATCCTCATTGGCCAGGTCAGGGCTGACCCCATCCTCAAGGAACTGGTGGACTGCAAAAACGGGGAGGTGTGCTCAGGATGCAGGGACAGAGGTCCTACCACAGGCCAGCACCACCCTGGCCAGGTCCATGCCGGCAGGGGCCCAGGCCATCTGTGGTGCTGCAGCTGGGGGCCAGAGGAGGGTAAGGAAGGTGATGGTGCAGGTGGCACGGGACCCTCTGTCCTAGCGGGCCTCACAGGGTGGTCCTCTGCCTCCAACCCCCTGGATCCTGGCACTCCAACCCTCAGGCTCCCAGAATGCCCCCTCTAGTGTGACAGACTGTCCCCCACTGGCCTGTGTGCTGGCACCCTCCCCTCACCATGTCCCATGTCTCCCCTAAGCCTTCCCCACTGGCAGACCACACATCTGCCCTTCCCTAGTACCTGCAGCCACCTCCCTGCACTGTGGGCTCCCTGCCCTGCTGCAGCCTGGAGTGGGGGGCCTGAGGCACCCAGACTGCCCCCCAGGGTCTCCCCATGAGCAGAACTGGTCCCACCCTCACTCCTCAGAAGTCCCACCCAGAGCCCAGGCTCTTGCCAAGGTCACCTAGGACCTCCTTGATGGCCTGGACCTCCCTGAGGGGGCTTGACAGGCTGCACAAGGGTGCCCCCTCTTTCCCACAGGTCCCTGGGGCACACCCACCATGCCCTGTCCACTTCCCTTGCTTCAGGCCGTCTGCACCCCAGCCTCTGAGGCAGAGGACCCTCCCCTGGGGGGGAGGCAAGAAGAACCCCCAGGAGCCTCAGGGAGGGCGCGGGTCTGCCTGAGTATGTGGGCACAGGGAGGGGCAGGGGGGCTGCCAAAGCTCAGGCCAGGAAGGTTCTGATGGCCAGACAGAAGTCCAGGAAACCAGCCTGTGTGGGGAGCACCCTGGCAGGAGGCAGAAAGACTGGGCTGCCCCCAGCCTGCTGGAGCCAAACCCTGGGTGCTTCAGGCTCCTGAAAGCCCAACCACCTTGGCCCTGACTCCATAGCAGGAGCCCTGCATGCTGCCCCCGCCCCTGCAGCCCACCACTGGGCCAGACCCTGAGCCCATATAAGGTGCAGCCATGTCTTTGGCAGGTCTCACAAGGACTGTGCAAGGGTGACAAGGACAAGGTTCAGGCCACGCACTCCCCTGGGGTCAGCCACACTCACCTTCTTCCAGGTCGTTTCGGGCAGCAGCCTCAAGCAGGGTGACACTGGGAGGGAAGAGGACCCGCTTCTGAGGCCTGCCTGCAGCTGCCTCCTTCCACGGCCGCTCCCTGCGGCCCTCCCTGCCCTGGGCCTCCTTTTCAGCCTGGGCCCACATCTTCACCTGCTGGGCTCGGCGCTTCTGGGCGTGCTTCAGCCGCTCCTGAGTGCTCATCCTGCCCACCATGGGCATCTCTGCCAGCAGTTCCAGGTGCTCGGCCATGGCGGGGGCTGCCTGCCGGGGGGGCTACTCTGGGCACCAGACAGGGGAGTGAGGGGGCCAGGCTGGGCCTGAGGGGCGGGGCAGCTGGCTGGACTGGCACCCTTGGGGGCATCCCCTCAAGGCTTGGTGCCCTCTGCCCCTGGCAAGGCTGGGTCAGGAGGTTCCACTCCGTGACCAGGCCCAGGGCTGAGCAGCCTGACGGGCACAGGCTCCTGGGAGAAAGGGCAGTGAGGGAGCCCTGGCAGCTTGGCTGCTCAAGGGCAGGGCCTCCCGCCCTCCCTCCTGGGGTCAGGGTGCACAGCCGGCAAGGAGCCGCAGGGCCTGTCCGTCTCAGTCCAGGGTCTGTAGCTAGTTGTCCCGACGATAAAGTTGCAGCTTCCTGGCACGTTGCCGAAGGGGCAGGGAGGGCAGGGCAATGGGCAGAGAGGGCCCTGGGAGTAATAGAAGGACCCTCTCCTTCCAGGCCTCAGGAGCCCAGGTGGGGCAAGAGAGCAGCCATGGGCCCGCCTTCCCTGCCTTCCGCCTCCTCCTGCCTGCCTCCCAGGGTCAGTGTGTGGGGCCCTGGCAAGGAGGTGCGGCAGGAGGGCGGGCGCCTCAGCCAGCAAGGCCAGAGCAGGGTGTGTACTGGGCGTCCAGGGCACCGCACGCACAGCTGGTTCGGCGGCTGTCTTCAGGGGGGCGTCCCCTCTGTAGGAGTCCTGGGTGGGTGGCCAGGCCACAGACAGCAAGTGGCTCCAGGGGCCTGAGGAGGAAGAGGAAGCACATGGAGGCTGGCTCGGGGTGGGGCTGGCTGGGCTCCCAGTGGCTTAACAGGTGAGCCCAGGCTCTGCCCTGTGAGAGGTCCCCCTCCCTGATGCCCACGGTGAGCCCTGCTGGACAGCAGTCCTGGTGGGGGTGGCAGGAGCTTGCTCTGCCCCATTCTGACTCACATCGAGTTTTGGGAACCGGGAAAGGGCTGAGAAGGGAGAAGGAGGCTACCCTCCAGGCTCAGGCACTTGCTGCCCTGGTCCCCACATCTGACCTGCCTTTTCCCCAGGCTGGGCCAGACAAGGTTGCCTTCTCCTTGGGCTCTGCAGGAACTGCCCCAAGGGCAGGCCCCGTCTCCTAGGCCCCAGCGCATTCAGACCAACACCCTGGCTCCTCACTGCCCAGCGGCTGGGCTTCTTCCTCCCTGTGTCCCCAGCTCAGTCCGGTGAACACCCTGGCCAGACACCCTGCGCTGCAATAAAAGTCCCCATCACGTGGACATGGGCCAGGTTGCCTGCTGGGCTGGGATCTATTGTACCAAGACAAGCAGGAGTTAGGCTGGGGCACAGCCACGTAGAGTCCACCGTGGCCTGACCTGCCCAGCGCCCCTGGTGTGGCTGTTGTGTGTGGTCAGGAGACTCACCTCAGGACGTCCCGGCGGCATTCCGCCCAGAAGGTGCTGGCCCACAGCTACCTGGGAATCCCGATCCTCCCCCAGCCAGGCCTTGGGGACATCTAGAGACCTACACGGCATCCTCTGGCCACACTTGCACTGAGGACACTCAGTGAGTACCCCCTTATTTCTGGAAGGGAACCGTCCCTCCAGCCGCAGGGCCTCTGGTGCACCCAGCACCTCACTGAACAGGAGCAGCCTGCCCCCGACTGTGTCCCTGACCTCTGCAAGCCTGGCCTCAGTGCCTTCTCAAGGACGGGACTGGGGCCAGTCGGGCCCAGGACAGAGCTTTCCAGGCAGCACCTCTGCAGACTCTGGGGGCCAGGAGCAGACAAGCTGTGCAGACTCGCTGCTTTCCCCCAAGTCCCTGCCTTTGCCCCGGGGAACACAGCCCTCTACAGGGAGAAAGGTTGGGAACCAGTTCCTGGGGCACCAGCCAGCTCCCCAGACAATCCTGGGATGCACCAGAGCTCTCACACCCCTGCACGCCACTCACAGCCCCCCCTTTGCCTGAGAGCTGGGACCCCCCCCCCCCCCCCCCCCCCCCACACACACACAGCTTCGAGGTGGGACTTTTACCCCTGCGGGCAGCCTCTGACCTCCCCAGGGAAGCCAACCCACATGGCCCACCCTGAGGGACCAGGAGCAAGGGGCGGGCACGCTGCCCTTGGCCTGGCTTGCAGGCTTCAGCCTCAGTCCGGGCAGGACCCACAGAGAACGCAACCCCAGGGACCGTGGCGCCCCAGTGAAGCACAGCGCAGGGTCCAGGGGCTGGTTTCCGGTCTCCAAGATGATGCCAATGGCGGAGCCACTGCCTGACCTTGTGAAATTTAACAAAACTTAGGAGATGCCATTATTTTATATAAGAAGAGAGATTCTGATACCCATGGCCTACAGAAAACAACCTGGAACAGCAACTGGCTTTGCACGCAGAGCACACGCTGCCTTTGATTTTCTCATTTGAAGGCCGTTTGTGGGAATTCCTCAGAGCAGGTTCTGGACAGCTCCCCACCCGCACCCCCGCACCCCGCCCAGCCCCACCCACCCACCCAGTGCAGGGGGAGGGAAGGGCGCTGGCTGAGACTGTGTACCTGGCCCCTGCCAGGCCCCAGCACGGGACAGCTCTCGGGCCTTCTGCCCTCAACTCTGGTGGGCCCTCCTCACTGAAGCCAACATCTCTGGGCCCCTTCAGCCACACTCCTTGCTGGAAGCGGCCAGAAGGCAGTCTCCAAGCAGCCCTGGGCAGCTAGACCACATCCTCTAAAAGAAAAGAAGTGCCCTAGGTGACCGGGTGGGCAGTCAACCCTGGGACCATTTCCACTGAGGGGGCCCCAGTGCCTGGGGCCTGGCTCCTCACAGTGGGAGCCCCCAAACCCTGCCTGTTGCCCGGAGCCACAATCAGCCAGTCTGGGAACAGCCTCCCGCCCTGGGAGCCTGGCCCCTCAGCAAAGCCAGGAAGGCCAGACCAGCTCAGTGGGGTCCCACCAAGTGGCCGCCACACCACACCCAGGCTGAGGGGGCTCAGCAGGGCAGCTCCGCCCCTGTCTACAGAGCTTCCCCCAAGCCTCCCTGGAATGTCACAGAGATTATCTGGATGACTTTTCCCAGTTCTCAGCTCTGTGCCCAGACCAGCTGCATCCGGTGTGGAGCCAGGTGGGAGGAGCCTCCCGGGGGGACAGTGGCCACTGCCAGGCACCTGCCCTCGGGGACGGGAGGCCCTGAGGCCCGCCTGCCAGCCCAGGCTGTGTCCTAGCAGGTCCTCCCCTGGCTGGTCCCTGTTGTCCCCATTTTCCATGTGGGGAAACAAGCTATGCCTAAAGGCAGAGCCCCCCCGGTAACTGTCGCACCACACCGCCCCTCAAACCCACTTCACAGCACCTGTGAGAGCAAGAGACAGGGTCGGGGAGGGGCAGGTGGGGGGAGGCAGACCCTCAGAGCAATGTGGGAGATGGCGCAGCCTGGCCTGCAAGCCCAGGGCCCGTCCACCTCCCTGGCGGTGGGGGCCTCACATCTGTTTGCTTAGGCTTGTGGGAGTAGGTTCCCACCACCTGCAACCAGAAGAGCTGGCTTTGTCCGCAGCATCATCTATGATGGCAAAACAAAGGGAGCTGCGCAGGCGCCTAAGAAAAGTGAAGCACAGCATCATTCTGCCAAAAGACACACACAGACGAGTCCAGATGAAGTCCCAGTGGGGGCTGTGTCACGGTCAGCAGGCCTCTGATGCGGAGTGGATGCTGCCCTGGTTAAAGGGCAGTGGGCAGGGTGGTGGTAGGGACCCCATCCTCTACCCCTGGGCAGTCAGGGCACCTGTGGTAGCGTGGACTCTAGGGGGTGCTGTAACCCCACTGGGGTGCCAGGCTCCCAGCACTTATGAAGGCTCCTGCCCCGCCCTGCCCCAACTGGGTGGCCCGGAAGGATGTCCCTGCCAAATGCGCCCACTGAGAAGGCCTGAGGGCCCCACAGCGGCCTTCCAGGCAGGCAAACTCCAGGTGCTCTGTGTCCTGGTCTAACCTTCCCCACTGAGGACAAGCGGATTAAAAGCACACTCACTGTCTGTCTGGCCAGCTTGGTGCTGGCACCTGGACAGGGAGGCACTTGGTCACGTCTGCGAGGGGCCGGGGGCCAGGCAGGTGCCCTCTGGCTACTGAGGACCAGCTGGGACACTGAGCCGCACCGTGTGTGGCAGCAGGCCTTGGAGAGGTGGCCTGGCACAGCACAGGAGGCGGGACACACTTCCTGGCGGCCACCTGCCCAGGGTGCATGCTCTGGGTCCCTCAACAAGCCATCCTCTCTGCCCTGCTCCACCCAGCCCAGCCTGGAGGTAAGGACAGGGAACAAGAGTAACAAGGACAGGCCCTGCTTTTAGCGACCACTCAGGTGGCCGGACTGCTGAGCCACAGAGGAGGTGCTGAGGCACCTACAGAAATGCGCCAGGCCTTAGACCCCACACACTACTTCACAGCACCGCCCTGCAGGTCCGCCTGCACAGGTGGTCCTTCTCAAAAGAAAACAAACATTTCTGTCTTTTTAAAAGGAAAGGACCCTGGCTGGTGTGGTCAGTGGATTGAGCACCAGCCTGTGGGTGGGCAGAGGTCATAGGGTGGCCATGGGGTGGGCCTGTGTGCCTAGACCGCCGTGAGGAGGAGGAAGCAGCCCTGGCAGAAGGCCGAGACAGGGCCCTGGGGTGAGCTCGAGGCAGGCTGAGGTGCTGAGGACATGTGACCGGCAAGGGCAGCGAGGCAGGTGGCTGGTGCTTCACACTGGTGTGGAGACCAGGGGAGGAGCAAACCTGGGGGTGCTGCTGTGGGCCCCCTCACCATGGACATCCTGTGAGGCTCTCACCTGCCCTCAGCAGGCCTGTTCTGGAGTGTTCTAGAAGCTAATCCTGCAGCACTACCATCAGGCCCCTTGCTACAGCGCTTTTAGGAGAGGAAAGGGTGGAAATGACCTCCCAGTCTATCAAAGAGGGCAGATTAAACAAGCCCCCGGTGGGGGGGGGGGGTTGCATGGAAGCTCCTTGTGCACTGCCCTGGGGAGGGCGCCACGAAATGGTGTTTGTCTAGTGAAAGGCACGACACCCACGTGCGCTGCCCCGCCTTTTATGTAAAGAGGAATGAAATGGGAATATCAGATTAACATCCGTGACGCGAGACACGGCTGACAGTGGTCACGGGACAGGCGGAGGGAGCGGCAGGCGGGCAGGACGTGTGCTTCACGTCATTTCCGTCGTTTGACTTTTGAGACCTGTGAAAATAAACTTCAACACGACTTTAAGCACTCTGCTTTGGGGGCAGGTGTGCACACCTACTGCAGGTCAGGTCGGGCTGGGAGGGCCTGGGTATCCAGCATCCTCTGTCCCTGGCCAAGGAGCTGGCCTCTGCCCAGCAGGCTGAGGGAGCCAGAGGCTTTCAGACAGATGAGTGATGTGATCAGATCCGGGGCAGGGAAACTCCCAGGAGAGACGCTGGCACCTGCACACCCACCGGCAGGCGTGGGCAGCAGAGGGCAGAGCAACCAGGGAAGGGTGGGGAGGGCTGTGGGATGCAGACTAGGGAAGGAAGACGGGCCCTGAGGGGTGGGACTGAGTAGTGACCAGAGTGAGGTAGAGCCAGGAAGCCCAGGAGCGACTGGTCAGCAGAAGCAAGAGGAAGACCAGAGTGGCCTCCGTAGGGAGCCGGCTGCCTGGGACACAGGGCAGGGCCCGCCTCCCGTCGCAGACACACCAGACACAGTGCAAGGAACAATGAAACCACAGATGGGAGGGAATGAGCAGAGGGACAGCCTCTCTAAGCCTGACATAAAACCCAGAAATCTCAAAGAAA